CTATGAAAATGACACGGCTACTTTACAAAAAAAGTTGTAATAGTTTCTTATAAAACTAAATTTACACCTGTCCTGTGACCCAGCAATTTTACATTTATGTGGTTACTCAGGAGAAAAACACATCTACAAAAAGGTCAAGAATGTTCATAGCAGCTTTATTCAAAGTAGTCTCAGACTAGAAAAAAGCCCAGGTGTCCATCAGTAGTAGAATATATACACACACTGGTATAAACAAACAATGGAATAATAGCAGTGAAAAAGTACAAACTGATGATTTATGCAAAACCTGGGTGAATCTTTAATATGCTGAAATAAGTCTTACACAACAGAGTACATACTGTAAATTCCATTTATGTAAGTTTCTAGAATAAACTAATGTACGGTGGAAAATATCAGAAGAATGGTTGACTTTTGGGAATGGTGGAGGTGGGGATTGACTGGGAAGAGGTATAAGGAAACTTTCTGAAATGAGAATGTTTTATATCTTGGTAGGATTTGGGTTCAATGGGTATATGCCTCTGTCAAAATTCAATGGATGGCCACTTAAAATTTGTACATTTCATGTAACGTGAATTTTACCCTAAAAGGAAAAAGCTATGAGGAAAAAAAACTAAACATACTGAACTCTAATAATATGCAAAGAATATTTAGGGGAAAGTGTATCTGTAATTTACTTAAAAATTCCCACCGAAATAAGATAAATTGCTAGAACTATGAGTCATGAGTTGATAGACATATACATTTTAAAACAAAATATTCATGGTGGCATCCAAGTGAAGCGTACATGTGTGTTCATTGTAAAATTCAACCTTCCAAGAATATTTATTACTTGAAATATTTATAATAAAATTTTGAAAAATGAAGAATATATAGGTTGAGCATCCTAAGTTTGATAATCTGAGATCTGAAATGCTCCAGAATCCAAAACTTTTGAGTGCCCACATGATGCTCAAAGGAAATACTAATTGGAGCATTTTGGGTTTCAGGCTTTTGGATTTGGAATGCTCAACTGGTAAGTATAATGCAAAAATATTCCAAAACCAGAAAACGCCCAAAATCTGCAAGACTTCTGATTGCAAGCATTTTGGATAAGAGATAATCTCTATTATGAACAGCCTTACATCAATAAATTTGACAAATGAAGTGAAACGTTTATTGGAAAAGGCAATTACCAAAGCAGCAAAAGAAGATATAGAAAAATCTTAATAGTCTACTAGCTATTAAATAAAGGAAATTCATTATTTAAAAACTTCTGTACAAGGGAAATTCATAGCCCAGATGGCTTTATCTGCGAATTTTGCCCAATAGTTGAGAAAGATATAATATCGATTTTGCACAAAGTCTTCCAGAGTGAATGGTTCCTTACTCTTTTTATAAGCCAAGGTAATATTGACTCCAGAACCTGTTAAGAAAGGAACAAATTAAAAACCAATCTCTCTCATAATTATAGATGTAAATACCCTTAGTAAAAACATTAGCTAATCCAATTTAGTGCTGTATGCATCAAAGCAAGTGAGATTTAATCCAGGTTCGCTTTACATCTAAAAGCCAATTAACATAATTTATCAGATTGAGAGGAAAAAATGCACAGAGCTAAACTAAATATTATGATTCAGGAAAAGCATTTGACAAAATGTAATAGCCATTCACAATAAAGCCTTTCAGAAAATTAGGATGAGAGAGAAGCATCCTTAATTGGAGGAAGATTATCTACTAAAAACCAATGACAAATATTGATTATGAAGCATGTTATTGAAGACTTTTCTCTTGTGCTCAGAAAAGAGACAAGGATTCCTACTATGACCATTTCCATTTAATCTTGTACTGGAGGTCCTAGGCAGTAAAATAATGCAAGATCAAAACAAACAAACATTAAGATTAGAAGGGTCAAAACTGTCATTATTCACTATTGTGTATGTGTACCTAAAATATGTATTTGAAATTCTTCATCAAAATATAAAAACAAACTGTATTTGGCAAGGTTGCTGTACACAGGTCGGTATTAAAAAGTTAGTTGTATTTTCACATGCCAGCAACTGACTGAAAACAATATTTTAAAATGTTGCCATTGACTATAACATCGAAAACCCCCAAATGTATAAGACTAAATCTAATAAAAGATGTGCCAAGACCTCCTCACTAAAAAATTTCAAAACATTTTTGTAAGTGAAGAATTTCTAAATAAATGGAGAGATATATAAAGTATTATTGCACAGATGTCAATCCCTCAAATCTACAGTTTCAGTACAGTCTCAATAAAAAGCCCAGCAGGTATTTTTGTGGAAACTAGTAAGTTGATTTAAAAATTCATATGGAATACAAAAAGCTGAGATTCATCGATGCAATTTTGAAAAAGAAGAATCCAGAGAAAATGATACATTCTAAAGTTCTTCTGATAAAGTCAAAGTGCTATTGCTAAATGGTTTTAGAAAAATGTGACCAATAAAACAGACAAGAAATTCCAGGAACTGACCCATACATACACAAACACCTACTTTAATTGTTTTTAAACTTTTATTTTTCATGGCTACGTAGTAGGTGCATACATGAGATATTTTGATACAGGCATGCAATGCATAATCACATCAGAGTAAATGGAGTACCCATCACCTCAAGCATTTATCCTTTGTTACAAGTCATACTGCAAGTAAGTACAAGAAGTGATCTTTTCATTTAATGATGAATCAGTTGCATATCTATATCGAATAAAAGTGTATGTTGACCCTTTTCTCAGACCATACAAAAAATTACAGACAGATTGCAGGTTTAAGCTACACGTGATTTTAATTAGGCAAAATTGGGGAAACTGGACCAAAAAAACACCCTGCTAATAAAGAAAATTGGTTAAATGGACTATATTAAAATTAAAAACCCCTGTTCACAAGAGAAAAATACCACCAAGAAGGTAAAACAAGGCCTTATAATGAGATTTTTTTAAATACATTCCAAAAAACCTCATACCCAGAATCTACAAAGTGTACTTAAAATCAGTTATATTTATATATTTTTAAAAGACACCGAAAAAGAGAAAATGGCACAAATGAGGATATCCGAGTGGTCAATAACATGAAAACATGCGTGACTTCATTCATCATCAGGAAAATTAAAGTACAATGTGATACTACTATACATCTAACAAAAGGGCTAAGTTTGAAAAGGTGGAAAATATCTTCAACCTCATTGGTAAAATAAGAAACAAAAGATGGAAAGTATCAAGTATTGGCAAGAATGTGAAGAACTTTCACAATATGAATGAGGATTTAAACTGCTATACATTCTAAGCAATTCCTATGTATTGCTATGTATCCTAATTGCTATACATGTTAAATTGAAAAAACGTAGTCATTTTCTTCTAAGGCTTAGCATGTTTCCTTGTGACAATTTCACTAGTATTTACCCCCCAAATTCCATACATTTTTTTTTTTCAATTTTATAACTTTATTTGATGTATTTGACGATCAGCGATTAGTTCTCATCCACATTGACTGTCTGTAGATTTTTGAAAGTGGTAACAGGTACGTAGGTAACCAAAGTATAGAGCTTATTTGGTGAATCTTCATCCTCATTACGTTTTCTGGACAGCCGCACACGGATTCAGTATGGGACATTCCTTATTCCTTTGGCCCAGACAGCTTTGTTGAGCCTGGTATCAATGCGCACATCTGGAGTTCCCATCTCCTTCATGGCAAATTTCCGAATCTCTTTGAGTGCCCGAGGGGCACGCTTCTTGAAGCCCACTCCATGGATGCGCTTGTGAATGTTGATGGTGTATTCTCGGGTCACCACCTCGTTGATGGTAGAACGGCCCTTTTTCTTCTCGCCACCCTTCTTTGCGGGAGCCATTCTGCCGGATCCAAGCTGGAAAGGAAGAGCGCGAAGTATTGTGCATACATGTTATTAAATGACATGTACTATACCATAGATAATAGCAGTTTAGTCCCAAATGGAGAAATATTCAAATGTCCTTCAACATTAGAATGAATAGATAAATTGTGGTACATTCACAATGAGTGACATCAAAATGGATAAATTGTGGTAGTCACAATGAAATACACAATATCCATCAAAATGGATAAATTATGGTAGAGTCACAATGAAATAATAGATGTAGTGTATAGCAATGGGAAGAAATAGTCTATAACAGAACACAACAACGTAGATGAATCTCACAAACATTGATACTAAGAAAACATGCAACAAAAGATACTTTGCAATTCCATTTATGCAAAGTACTAAAATAGACAAAACTAACATGCTGTTGGAAATCTGGATGTTGTAATTATTTCAAAGTAGCTTGAAGGGGGCTTCTGAGGTGCTGGAACTACCTTGCATCTTAATCTAGGTGCTAGTTACAGAATTGTGTTCTATTTGTGAAAATTCAAACTATGGAGTTATAATATGTGCAGTTTCCTATATGACTATCATACTTCTGAGAAAAAGCTAAAATTAGTGATGCTACTGATAAGTATATGATAGGCTGTTAATATAGTGTGGCTCCCCCCACCCAGCAAACATTATGAAATCATACATAAAAATATATTTATTTTAAAATCTCAATTTTACTCCTGCCCACTCCTGAAAGAAAAAACAAACATAATCTGATATCTATTTGCTGAATATGAAAGCCTAAAATGGCTACAATAAAGGTTTCTATAATTTTAGTAATAGTATTTTAGTATTTAAAATCTTAATCATACTGATTGGGATTACCAAATAGATATTGAAGAATGGAGTTGTAAATGTACAAACTTGTTTCAATCAGCATTTTTAAGAATTGTTTTCAACATTGTTAAATCAATCAGTTTAAACTTTGAAAATTATCTTGCTTGCTCTTGAATGTGGTGATGACTCTTATATGTTTGATAACTTTGACTTTAAGTCATGCCAACTGAATAATACAGCAACTGTAAGATCAAAGGTTAATTATTATTATTATTTTTTTTTTTTTCTAGGCAAGAACTTTAAAGAACCGAACTGTTACCAACAACATAAAAAACCAGTATAGTATATACAAAATTTTTTTATGTCAGGAGAAAATTTATCATGTTGGCAACAGAACATGTGCTGCAGACCTCCAAGCGGCTGGCATAGTACATCCACCCCGTGACAGGCCCACTGGGACTGTGGTGAACATGCCTGTGCCCCAGTACAAAGTCCCCTTTCCCTAAGAAATGTACAGAAGGAGAGATGAAGAGCATGCACCCAAAAGGAAGAGGGAGAGGCTGGGTGCCCTGTGCCCCGAGCTCAGAACTTCAGGGGGATGACCGGCCAGTACTTGGGTTGCTTTCGGTCACAGTGCTTGTCAAAGCTCAGCTGCACCGCAGCTTCCATGGCCTGGATCTTGGCAGCGCTGTCCCCGTACAAACGCTTCATCTCGGCCTGGCGCCGCTCACCAGGCCTCTCAGTTGGGGCTTCTATCGACCGGCGGGTGTTGCAGTACAGGTCGTGGTCAGCGTTTACGTAGCTGTTCAGGCGCTCTGCATCCAGCTGCTGCTGCCGCCGTCGTTCTTCTCTGTGCCTCTCAGTCTCTGCAAAGTATTGGCGGAGCTCTTCGGTGATTTCCATATTGCTCAGGTCACATTCTACCTCTGCATCTGACTCAGTCTCCATCTCTTCTTCTTTGGACAAAGCTTGGTCTTCTCTTGTGGATGCCTGGATCCTACTGCTGCAATGTGGATGCTGCCCAGACCTTCCGAAGTGTGAAGAACTGCAGGGGTAGTCCTGCCAGGCCAGATGATGGTCATAGAAGGACTGAGGATACGCAGCCTGGTTATCGTAAGAGCTTTGGGGAAGAAGTGCAGGAGGGAAGTACGATGGAAGACTGAAACAGGATTCCACGGCCTTCCTGTAGGCATTGTGATGGCTTTGCATCCAAGCCATTGCTTGATGATAATGTTGCCAGTATCTTGCATATACCGGATGAGAATACCAAGGCCTGGTAGCTTTCGATGTTGATGCCTTCACCGCTGCCATCTCTGATTGTGAAAGTCCAAATGGGTGCCGAAACTCCCTGGGAATGTCTCCCACTCTTTTATGGCACAAGCCTTCAGGGACTGAACAGTAACTTTTCTCCGAATGGGCTGGTGGAGCTCGTGGGCGCGCAGCTTGCGGATCCTGGGCGTTGGCCGAGCAGGGGCCTAGTTTTCCTTGGAGACACAGAGGGGAAATGGGGACACGAAGGGGGCGGCTGTTGCCGGGGCGACTGGAAGCGCGCTTCCGGTCGGTTAATAATTATTTTAACTTTCAGTTGGGTGATTGATCACATTATTTCTCTAAATACCACACAACCTGGTTCTTCTTAGCTCCTGCATGTCATGAACCAAAAGGAACATCATGTAATCCTTCAAAGCATAGCACCTAATCCTTGATTGATTACTTGGCACTGGGGAGTGTGTATGCTATTTTTAATAATAAAGAAGACAAATAGATTCTAAGAAGCTATTATTAGGTTCCTATTTATACCAATGTCTAATTATAGGATGGATTTGTTATTATTTGGCATTTGGCATTCATTTTTTGGATCAGGCTTTTAATAGTTTTAAATAGTATGTGAATATAAATAATATATGTATAAATGTTAAATATTCAGACTTATTATGTTGCTCTTGGACAAATTAAGAATTTTCAGTTCTTATGTGTATTCTAGACAGTGTAAAAACTGTCTTTTACTCTGGGTCATATTCCTACTGCCTTAACATATAAGCTTTTCAAGAGGAGTCAGGAGTTGGGAAGGAGTAGTAGTCTAAGGCTGCTTCTGCTAGTTTACTATGATGTTATTACATGTAATGATTCATTTATTCACTGAATCATATATTTATAAATAAAATACATACGTGTGTATATATAATATAGCAATGAGCCATCACTACATTATCATTTGGAATGGCTAACATCCAAAAACCCAGCAATACCAATTGCTGGCAAGGATGTGAAACAAGAACTCTCGTGTGTTCCCGGTGGAAATGTAAAATGGTACAATCACTTTGGAAGACAATTTAGCAGTGTCTTATATAGAAAAGTTTTTCACATATGAAAAAAAGCTCAACATCACTGATTGTTAGGAAATGCAAATCAAAACCACAATGAGATACCATCTCAAACCGGTCAGAATGGCTATTATTAAAAACTCAAAAAACAACAGATGCTGGCGAGGTTGTGGAGGAAAAGGAAGGCTTTTACACAGTTGATGGGAGTGTAAATTAGTTCAACCATTGTGGAAGACAATGTGGTGACTCCTCAAAGACCTAGAGGCAGAAATACCATTCAACTCAGCAATCCCATTACTGGGTATATACCCAAAGGAATAGAAATCGTTCTATTATTATTATTATTATTATTATTATTATTATTATTATTTTGAGACAGGGTCTGGCTCTGTCACCGAGGCTTGAGTGCAGTGGCATGATCTTGGCTTGCTGCAACCTCGGTCTCCTAGGCTGAAGCAATCCTCCCACCTCAGTCTCCCAAGTAGCTGAGACTATAGGCATGTGTCTCCACATCTGGCTAATTTTTGTATTTTTGTAAAGATGGGATTTCATCACTTTGCACAGGCTGGTCTCAAGCTCCTGAGCTCAAGCAATACGTCTGTGTTGGCCTCCCAAAGTGCTGAGATTCCAAGCATGAGCCACCATGCCGGGCCTAAATCATTTCTATTAATATTATAAAGATACATGCATGCATATATTCATTGCAGCACTATCCACAATAGCAAAGACATGGTATCAACCTCAATACCTATCAATGGTAGGCTAGATAAAGAAAATGTGGTACATATACACCATGGAATATTATGCAAGCCATAAAAAGGAATGAGATCATATCCTTTGCAGGGACATGGATGGGGCTACTAATGCAGGAACAGAAGACCAAAACCAAATACCACATATTCTCACTTATAAGTAGGAGCTAAACGATGAGAACACATGGACACATTGCGGGAAACAACACACACATAGGGGCCTGTTAGAGGGTGGGACATGGGAGCAGGGAGAGCATTAGGAAGAATAGCTAATGGAGGCTGGGCTTAGTACCTGGGTGATGGGATAATCTATGTAGCAAACTACCATGGCACATGTTTACCTATGTAACAAGCCTGCACATCCTGCACATGTACACCTGAACTTAAAAGTTGGAAATAAAAAAACAGTTTTTCCATACCATTCAGGAACCACGCTCCTAAGGTATTTGTTCAACTGCTTTGAAAACTTAGGTCAATACAAACCCCTGAATACAAGTGTTTGTATCAGTTTTATTCATAATCACCAAAAACTAGGAGTAACCAAGATGTTCTTCAATAGGTGAATGAATAGACAAACCATGGTACATCCATGCAATGGAGTTCTACTCAGCAATGAAAAAGAGTAAATTATGAAGTCAAGCAAAGACTTAGATGAATCTTAATTGCATATTACTAAGTGAAAGAAGCCAAACTGAAAAGACTACACAGTGCACACATATCTTGGTTCTTTCATTTTTGTGGGGGTGGGGGGCATGGGGTCTGACTCTGCCTGGCTAGAGTGCAGTTGTGCCATCTCGGCTTACTGTAACTTCCACCATATCTTGGTTTCTAATACCATTAGTCAGCAAATGAATCAGCACTCTTTGAAGAAATGGCCAATTCTAGAATTGGGGCAGTAAGTATACAAAATGAGCATAGAGCATCTTGTGCCAGAATGTACAAGTACTCAAAACAAAACCACCAACACTACCACCAACAGAAAAGCCAGAACCAAAGTCAAACCCAATAAAAATATAGGAAAAAAAAAAACATATTAAGACCATGTCAAAGGGACACAGGAGCCAACTTAAAAGTACTCCCAATGTTCAAACTGGAACAATTTGAGCAGCACAGTAAAGTGGTATTAAATTATAACCCAAAGCATAACGTGAACATCCATGAGTCCATACTGATGGAAATAAATGGTTGAATAAGTCAATAAGTAGGGCAGAATAGATAAATCTCCAACGCAGATCAGTTCCAAATAATTTGCATACATATTCCACCCTCAAGGAGGGTGAGCATAACTCCTTATTTATTTATTTATTTATTTATTTATTTATTTTTGAGACAGAGTTTTGCTCTTATTGCCTAGGCTAGAGTGCAGTGGTTCAATCTCGACTCACTGTAACCTCCGCCTTCCGGTTTCAAGCAATTCTCCTGCCTCAGCCTCCCAAGTCACTGGGATTACAGGCTCCTGCCACCACACCCAGCTAATTTTTTTGTATTTTTAGTAGAGATGAAGTTTCGCCATGTTGGTCAGGCTGGTCTTGAACTGCTGACCTCGTGATCCACCAACCTCGGCCTCCCAAAAAAGTGCTGGGATTACAGACATGAGCCACTGCACCCAGCTGAACTCCTCATTTCTTAAATGTGGGAAATGCAAAGCGACTTTCCTAGGAAAAGTACAGTATGAAAAGGAGAAAAAGAATAACCTGATAATGAAGAAACCTGAAAAACATCATCTTAGCCAAGTGATCAAGGTTGACATCAACAATGATAAGTTATGTTAATAGTTTGTACCCTAGATATGATGGGATGAGAATGGCATTTTGCCTCTGTGGTGTTTCTCCCACAAACCCATAATACCAGTCAAATCATGAAAGAAATATCAGAAAAATCCCAACAGAGGAACATTTTACAAAATACCTGATCAGTACTACTCAGAAATTTCAAGAATACCCAAAACGAGGAAATTCAGAGAAACTTAAAGCCAAGAAGTGACTAAGGAGACATGACAACTAAATGTAATGTGGTGTACTATACATGGTCCTGGAAAAGAAAAGGGACATTAGATAAAAACTAAGGAAATGTGAATGAGGTATGGACATCAGGTAATGTGTCAAAAGTGGTTTATTAGTTATAGTAAATGTACCGTACTAATGTAAGATGTTGCTAATATGGGTACCTGGGTTTAGGGGATGTGGAGCTCTCTGTACTCTCTTTGCTATTTTTCTGTATGATAGTTCTCCCTTATCTGCAGTTTTGCTTTCTGTGATTTCAATGATCAACCTATGATCAACCATTGAAAATACTAAATGAAAAATTCCAGAAATACACAATTTACAAGTTTTAAATTGCACACTATTCTGAGCAGCAGGATGAAATCTCTTGCTGTCCCACTCCAAGACATGAATCATCCCTTTGTCCAGTGTACCCATGCTGTATATGCTACCCACTCAATGGTCACTTAGTAGTCGCCTTAGTAATCAGATTGACAGATCACAAGAAGGGTGAGTACAGTACAATAAGCTATTGTGAGAGAGAGAGAGACCACATTCACATAACTTTTATTAGTATGGTGTTATAATGGTTTCATTTTATTGTTAATCTCTTACTGTGCCAAACTTATAAATTAATTTATCAATTAAACCTTATTATATATATAGGAAAAAACAGTATGTATAGGGTTTGGCACTAGCTGTGGTTTCGGGCATCCACTGGGGTTTTAGAACATACTCCCAGAGGGTTGCTGGCAAGATGGTTGAATAAGAACAGCTCTGGTCGCAGCTCCCAGAGAGATTGACGAAGAAGGCGGGTGATTTCTGCATTTCCAACTGAGGTACCGAATTCATCTCACTGGGACTGGTTTAACAGTGGGTGCAACCCAAGGAGGGTGAGCCAAAGCAGGGTGGGGTGTCGCCTCACCCGGGAAGCACAAGGGGTCGGGGAACTCCCTCTCCCAGCCAAGGGAAGCCATTACGGACTGCACCGTGCACTCCAGCCCAGATACTGCGCTTACCCCACGGGTCTCTGCAACCCCTAGACTAGGAGATTCTTTCCAGTGTCTACACCACCAGGACCCTGGGTGGCCTGGGCGGTCTTTTGGGCAGACACTAAATTAGCCGCAGGAGTTTTTTTTTTTCATACTGCAGTGGTGCCTGGAAGGTCAGCGAGACAGAACCATTCACTCCCCTGCAAAGGGTGCTGAAGCCAGGGAGCCAAGTAGTCTGGCTCCGTGGGTCCCATCCCCAGGGAGCCCAACAAGCTAAGATCCCCTGGCTTGAAGTTCTTTCTGCCAGCACAGCAGCAGTCTGAGCTCGATCTGGGACACTGGAGCTTGGTGTGGTGAGGGGCATCTGCCATTGCTGAGGCTTAAGTAGGCGATTTCACCCTCACAATGTAAACAAAGCCTCCAGGAAGTTAGAACTGGGCGGAGCCCACCTCAGCTCAGCAAGGCCACTGTGGCCAGACTGTCTCCTCTCTGGGC